GAGATAATGATTTTTCAGGTTTTCAAGATGAAAACAACATGAATATCTCAGTTTGAAAGTTTTAATGCTTTTATTTAAATTACATATTTATGTTTATAATATTTTATGAAATTTATGTTTTATCTCGTTTTAGCTATATTACTACATCATTAAGTTTTACTTAGCACGTGAATTCTTTTGTGTAGGTTCGAGTAAAGAAAAGAACGTGAAAAGAGGAGTTATCTGAGCATCTTATGGAAGTCAAACCTACCTATAGAATCAGTAAGACATCATATCTTTGACTTATTAGGGGCATGTACATTACACCTGATGGTATGTTTTATTGAATTTATTTTAAAAGGGTCTGTAATAGTAACTATGATTATTTTCTTTAGTTTTGACTAATTTTAGTATTTAATCGTAATTTTTGAATGAATAGTGTAAATGTTATATTTTAAATGGTTTTTAAATGAAGTAGTATTTATACAGTGATATATAGTTATGATAAGCTCTGAACTGCCTACTTACTGATTAAATATTCTTTTATGATTTTATATGAATGGGGTAAAAATTTTTATGTTGAAACAATGAAAGTTAAAAAAAATGAGATTTTAAGTATTTATGCTCAGCAAATAATTATCAAGTTGATGTGACATATTTAGCTCATATATCGAGATATATATGGGTTATGGATGTTACAAGAAGTGAATCTAACCTAAATAAGATAATAATGAAAAACTCTCCATTTAAGATGAGAAATTGTTACGGAAGAAAAAACTCAACAAAATAAAAGAATAAGTATCATTAAGAAGATCCACGATATGAGAGAAATGTTATTTAGATTATTATGTTGTATTTCTACAAGAAATAAGGATGACATTAGAATGATGAAAGATGATCTAATCAATTTTCATCATGTCATAAAAGTTATGACTCTCAAAAGTGGATTAATGCCAAGTAAAAATAGTATGTTTTATACAAGATAATAAAGTTTGAGAACTTATCTCATTACATGAAGGTGCAAAGTTAATTGGTTATAAAGGAGTATTTATAATCAAGATGGATACAAATGGTGATGTTGATAAGTATAAGACATATCTTGTATATAAAGGATATACTAAAAAATAAGGCATTAATTTTGTAGAGATTTTCTCTTTGGTTTCATTGAAAGACTCTTTCAAGATAATTATGATATTTGTTGCTCTTATTTGATTTTGAGTTACATAAGTTGAATTTCAAAATTGTGTTTCTTAATGGTAACATTGATGAAATATTTTATACGGTGCAATTAGAAAATTGTATCTAATGATACAAAATTAATCATATACAAATTAAGGAAACTCATTTATAAGTTCAAGTATTACTCCCGTTAATTGTATAACAAACTTCACCTAAGCAATTATCTCGTTTGGTTTTGAGATGAATTTGGTTGATAACTGTATATATTATAAGTTCAATGGGAGTAATCCAAATAATACCCTTTATTGCTAAAGGAACAAAGTTTAGTCTTGATCAGTGCCCTAAGGATGATTTTGAAACTAAGGAAATGTAAAAATTTCTTATGCTTCAAAATAAATAAAGAATTTAATGTATACTCATGTTTATATGCATTCAGACATAGCATATGATTTTATGATAGTAAACAGATATTTAAGTAATTTAGGTATAGATCGTTGGATAGCAGCCAAATTGATTCATACAATATATTTAAGAACAAAAATGTTATATGCTCACATATTGGAGGTCTAGTAAGTAAGAGATATCGGGTTTATGGACTCCGACTTATTCGAATATGAATGTAAAATTTTGTCACGTGAACTGTTAGTTATGCATTGATAAGAAAGATCACTTGAGTTATTTTGTGACAACTAAGTTGCAGTCCTTTTTTCCACATATAACAAGAGCATCTTACGTCTAAGCACATAGACATTATGTTTCTGGTTCTTAAAGAAAATTCAGAGTGAATATGTGTTTATAGAGCATGTTGGTACAAACTCATAATTGCGCACTTACTAAAGAACTATCACCCAAGGTCTTTAATGATCACACTACTCATGTGGGTGTAATATCATTTAAGGATATTTGGTTTTAGTGGGAGTTTGTAATTTTAATGTTCGTTTATTATAAACACAACTTCAGTTTAAGGATATTTATTTTAAAGTTATTTTCTACAGAAATAAATCTTGTTTCGGTTTATCCACACTCTAATTTTGGTAAAATTTGATCTCACTAATGTTTAAAGAGGACCAGTTGGAAATAGACATGTGTGATTCACATTGCATGTAATTTCCATGCTACGCTCCATGATTAATCTATGTCATTTGACTATGTTTATATACGTAACAATTGATGGATCTAGTTATGATTGATATGGCAAAGGTTGCATTGATCCTATATGGATATAGTTGATGGACGATATTGTTATATAATACTTATTATATGACAGAGAATTATGAACTCTTAAGGTTATACATTTGTCAGGAAACATATGTTGCCCTAGTGGGAGATTTTTGGATTAAAATCCATATTTGTGGGCACATGTGTATAATGTACAGTGTTATCATAAAGTATGACATAAAATTAAGTGGCCAGATATGTTGCATGTGTTATATGTATTAAAGTGTCATTGAATCAAAGTGTAGATACCATAAGTAGTATTTATAATTTGATGAGGGCATAATTATAAATACTTAAAATATTGACATAATATTCAATCTATATAATGAGGTAGTGGTCCCCAAGAAATAGGTTATTTTTTATTACTCTTATCACTGGAAGAGAGTTTTTACAACAAGAGTAAACCTATCATTTTAGAAGATTGCAATCAAAGAAAGACTTTAATTTTATTTTATAATTAATTCGATACACTTCCGTAAATCTAATATTTTATTCTTGATGATTTGATATGATTTTATCCTTGTTATTTTTCATATTTGTTATGATTTTTGTTCTAACAGTGGAAGCTGAGGAAGAAGATGCATCTGCATAAGCCCGTTGCAACGCTCGACTTGATGTGACCAGGTGCCAGTTTGGTATGAGGCGTGTCTCATGAAACTATATATTTCGCCTATTCCAAACTTGATACAACGGCAACAAAACAGTGGTGAAAGCACTTTTATCAAGCAATGATAGGAGAGATTCCAGCCAAGCACCACACGAATTGAATGAACCAGAGCACACAAAGATAGGTAAACCTGCCCTGGCAAAAATTGGAAAAACCTCGAGAAATTCCCGAAGAGCCAAATAAATACTTCGCTAAACCAAAGAAAGGTCGGTCACCCAAACGAGATGAAAGAATGTCACCCGATGGGAAGTATTTCGATGTTAAGATTCGGGATAGAAGTGAGTTTGGGTTCCTGATACAACGCCAAATTTGCTTACCGAGCATTGCAAGATTGAACAGATGCAAACCATGGAATCCAAGGCTCCAACTCTCTTCAGCTGGCAAATCATTTCCCATGCTTCTAACGGTCATCCACGATCGGGAGGGTTCCCACTCCACTAATACGATCGTACACCCGCATTTATGTCTCGAATAATACCCTCAGGCAGAAGAAAACAACCCATCATGTAAGTTGGAAGAGCTTGACCAACAGACTTGATATACACTGAGCGACTGCCGTATGAGAGAGTCCACCCGCGAACTCGCCTCGCAGTCTTGTCTTGAAGGAAACCAAAAGTCATTTTTATTTTGACCTCAAATTGAATACTTGAAGATGGCAAATATTTTTTTTTTTAAAATAAAAATTTAAATACTAATTTAATACAAATAAATAAATACTAAATTAAAAAAATTAAAATCATATAATAATTTGTGTTTTAAGCCAGACTATATATTCGGATAAAAAAAAATCAAGATCCATGTGCATTAACAAATATTTATTTTGTTGCAATGAAAACTATAACTATAAAGCCAAAAAAGTTCTGCTGATATTGTTCCTCAAAAAGGTCAGAGAAGATAAGAAATTGTACGACCTTTGGTATTTGATGTTTGGTTTTTCTCTCTTTTAAAATGGATCTTTCATTTAATAAAAACGAACTCATATGATGGACATATTGGAAATTGCCCAATTCTTTGGTATTACTAAAGAGTATCAAATGCCATTGCGTATACAAGCCCAATCCCAATCCCAATCCCAATCCGTTGGTGATGTTCTAATTTGTTCAACAACAAAAAATCACTTCAATTATAATTTCTCTATATGGAAATGCAGAATTTGGTTCTCGATTTCATAATCTATGTCAGATTTCTATCAGTTTCCAGAAGGGTAATAATTTCCATCTTACAAACCAAGTTTTTTCCTACGATTATTTTTCCATTTTCTGGTCCATGATCTTCGAATTTTCTGGACTTGTGAAAGTCCTAAAGCTGATCGTTGAGCATTTGTGGCCTAACTTCTAAAGAAATTTGCATGGAACAGGATACAATAGCTGCCGACTGTCGCAAGTTCTTATTCATATTATATGTATATTATTTATGCATCTTATATAGAGAGAGAGACCAACGGGGGTTTAAAAGACAGAAATTAAGAAAAATAATATGTACATTATTCAGTCCAGCATGATCAGAACGGATTTAAGAGTTTGGTTTCATCAGGATGAAAATGACAGCCATGAAATCTGTAACCAACAGATATAAATGCCCGTAGGCTGAAAATGAAAAAAAGAAAAAGTAAGATTAGGCAGGGATGGTAACAACCCCCCCCCCCCCCACATGCAAATTCAAAGTCCTTGTCCATCCAAATAAGACTTTACGATGCATAATGTAAGATGGGAGCAGTCTAAAGGTTGAAAAACTTGATTTCTGAGAAGACGGGGAAAGGTAATCCCCACAAGGTTAATGAACCAAACTGCTCATCACATTGATACAAAATAACCTATGATCTAGATGTTAATCAACCAAACTGCTCATCACATTGATACAAAATAACTTATGATCTCGATGTTAATGAACCAAACTGCTGATCATATTGCTACAAAATAACCTATGATCTAGATGTTAATGAACCAAACTGCGTAAACTTACATTTCTCCTAAAGAAGCGAACGCCCAAAACACCCAAGGGTTATGTATAATCTCCACGAATTTCATATACCCTTGCATTACAATTTTTGCCATGCTGAAAGTTCTAAAACCAGGACTCAAATACCAAAGGGAAAAAATAAAATCAAAATGATATATAAAACAATGGAAATAAGCATTTTGCACTTGAATTCTCACCATAGACTGAGCTGAGCGGTTCCATTCCACACTAGAGAAAAATGACCAAGTGGAAAATTTCACCATCAACGCCACGACGATACTGTGAGTAGAGGCACTTCTTTCCAAGCTAAAGAAAGAAATCCAGGCTGGGATTGAATTATCGAATACGAAGAACTGTAATTGTAATTCCACAACAGAATTTTCGCTTGACTTATTGCATAGTGGCTAAGGGTTACCATTTCAAAACCAGCACTTTCCATTAAAACCTTCCATTGCTCTTTATCTTCCATCCGTTCCCTTAGGTTTTCATCTTCGTCCTGTCCAATAATCCCTGCGATTTTCCGACCCAATAATAGTCTCTCAACTTGTATTCGCTCTGGTGAATCACGAGGTAAGTTGGGTTCCAACGATTCAAACACGGCCGAATAATACCGCAAAGCATTCTTAAACCGGTTCACAAACCCAACTCGATTTAAGCTCGCTTCGTACTCACCCAATGTCACGATTTTGGGGTTCAAAGATTTAGCCAAACGGAGAGCTGCTTCAACAGTGACCGGAGCTGCATCCAACAAATTATACAATTGAAGCATGAAATTTACAGCCAATACCTCGTCGTCGTCAACCCGGAAACAAGACTCGCTAAGTTCCTTAATCGGAGTTAGAATCGGTTCAAACTCAAAATTCAAATCCAGTAACTTTGCAAAGTCACGTAGACGGTTACCCGTAGCATAAAGGGAAGGAGACGGAGAGGAGCCCAAAACCGGGGCAGGTATACCCGAAATACGAATCCGGGTTGGTTTTCCAACTGACCTGGTAGCTAACGCTTGCAAAAGAGCTGCCCATTGAACTCCTTGAACAATTCCAAAGTCCACTATGTGAATCTTGCTTGCCCGCTCCGTTGCTTCGAGAATCGCTTGATTCGCCGTTAAATGAGCGAATTTCGAGTAAGGACACGATTCGTTCAATACTTTGTAAGAGAGAGTGAAGTCCTCCGACGTCGTGTCAGGCAGATCCAGTCTTTTCTCTGCCCGAACAGGAACTCTGCTACAGAGAGCTTTGGTGAAGTAAAAGGCCACTCTTTCAGTAGGATCTCCAAATTCTGACACCGACTCCCGGAGTCCTTCCATTGATTTAATCGCGCTTTCAGGTTCCAACTCAGTGAGTCTAGCACAGACGAGTAAAGCTTTAAAAAGCGGGTGAGACTCGATCTCGGGGGAATCAACTGAGACCCCAGCGGCGTCGTTTCTGAGTGGCGTCTGGCTCGGGGGACTGCTTGCTTTGGTTTCTTTAACGGTTGCTTGAGAAGGTTGAGATAGAGGAGATGGGGACCACGTAGGTGGCTGAGGCTGAGGTTGAAGAGAACTGCTAAGATTTTTCTCTGCCTCTGCTGAGAAAATCACTCGGTTCAGATCAGACGGCGTAGGACATGCCACGCTGAGACGATTCGGGCAAGCACTAAATGGATCGGCACCGTAAAGACCCAAATCAGCATTGCTTGGCCAAGCTTCACATCCAGGTGGCAGATTCGAACTATCCGTTGAATTTCCACTGTTCATTAAGCAATCCATCCACTCGTCGGTCTCAAACTCGCCACCCGAACCACCGGCAAAATCCGGGAACCGAAACCCACTCGTATTATGATGACCCATGTGGGGGAACTGAAACACTTCTCCAGTATCTCCCTGAAAGAGGTCAGCAAAACCCGGGCCCGAAAGCCCGTATCCAAGACTGGGTGAGATGGAATCGCCGTGTTGACTCCAAGGGTTTAGACTAACAGGACTGAGACCAAGAAGGTGTTGCTGCTGATGATGTTGTTGCTCTTTTTGTTTCTCTTGCTGTTGCTTTATAACTTGCTGAGCGATAGCCATTAGATTCCCACTATCCGCACACATATAAGCCATTCTCCGGCCAAAGTTCGACGGAAAATCCTGTGAGCTGCACTTAACATTACACCACAATAAACAAGAGAAAATATCAGTAAAATAGTGAGTTTTACCCCCAACTTTTTAAAGCATAAAAGAAGAGGAAGAAGAAAGAGAGTACGTACAAAATTGTAGGCCCGAGCGTAACTGATTCAGAAGCTCTACAAACTTGGATTTCGCTTAAGCTAAGGAGAGAGAGAAGAAAGCAATCTAAGTGTAGCTTTAAAGAACGATACCTAAAGCAGCAGAAGCAGGACGAGAGCTTAATAAAGTCCCCCAAGGCCCAAATGAAGAAGTGGGTCCTTATATCATAGCTACTAAGAATTTAGACAATTAGCCCCAACTTTATTTTGAACGGAAATTTGTAAGGGGAGATTTATTTTTGTCAAAATTTTAAAGGGTAAATTTTGCATTTAGTATTTAAACTAATAATTTTAATATGTTTTAATACCTAAACTTTCAATTTATTCAAAATCATGCCTAAAATTTAGTTTTTGTTTATTTTTATACCTGGTTAAATACTTTTGTTTTTGTTTCATTTTAGTACCTATTTAAAATTTAACATTAATTTTTGGAAAAATTGAAAGTTTAGGTACTAAAATGGACCAAAACTTATAGTTTTGATACTAAACGCGTTAAGTTTTTGACGTCAGGTATTCAAATGAAATAAAAATTAAACGTTAGGTATGGTTTTGAAAAATTGAATGCTTAGGTATTAAAACAAACCAAAACTAATTGTCTAGTACTAAATGTGTAGTTTATCCAGATTTAAAATTTGAAGTTTTTAATTCAAATATAAAAAATAAAAATTATAAATAACTTTAAAATAAATTTTGATAATTAAATTTATTTATTTAAATCCCATCAAAGTAGGTGAGTTTTTTAAATTAATCATAGTTTTAATTTTATGCAACTATCTTATTATAAAATAAAAGAATTAAACTTCTTATATATTTTTATTATTTATATCATTAATTTTCTTTCATAATTATTTTTTTTATAAATCGCATTTTATTATATCGAAAAGAAACAACTACATCATAAAGAGTATCAACAAAAACATATACTCCCTAAAGATCCTACCCTGTACAAATATTAAGGTTAACAGGGTTCTCCCTATTAACAACCCTATAGTATAATCTATCACGAATAGTATGTTTCACTAAAATGAAAATCTCAACATCCGCCCTCGTGAAACTATGAAAAATCCTATTGTTACGTTGTTCACAAATGAATACACAACAGCACCTCAAGACAAGTTAAGAACAAGAGAGAGGAGCGATTTACCCTTAAAGACACTAACCGCACAAGAGAACTCAGCGTCCCGAGACTGCATCAATCTCCCCCTCCCACAGAAACTCAAAATCCAACCCACAAAGAACACACTTCATAATTACTTTTAAAATAGTAAAATATTAATATATATATATATATATATATATATATATATATATATATATATATATATATATATATATATCAATAGCAGCCTTGTAACACCCCATAACAATACAGATGACTCAATCTGATCTGAGGTGTCACATTAGGGCCACTAGAACGACCTACAATAAAATAACAAAAAAATTTAATTTTTTTCCAAAATCATATAAAATTGTAAAACTTTATAAATAAAAATACAAATGCAGAAATCATTCAAATCGTAAAATAGAATTCATTCATACCTCTCATCATAAAAGTTTTAGACTCAGTATAAAAACAAATACGACATATATGCCCCCTAATTACACAGGTATCGTACTCCCAAGCAACACCAGAGGAACTCCATTACTAATGTCGATAATTGAGCAGGATTGATTCATTTTAACCTGAAATGGTAAGTAACATAGTAAGCTTTGGAAAGCTCAGTAATACAAAACTACCAGGTAAATGCTAAATGACATGCAGATTAATGGCAAAGCATAAAATTTTCTTATTGATTTAGGCATCTGCATGATTTCGTGATGAGATAAGGCTCTACTGATATTTTTTAAGGTAACAGTTATGAAGCTTGCAATTTAGGGGAGTACGTTCACGATATCGGAATATGAGTTCTAGTGTGTTCCCACAAAACAAGAATAAATAAAATCATAAATTAAAAAAATACAGTAGTAATTTATTTCAATAAAATAGTTTTTAAAATAATTGTAGTACTCTCCAACCGAACATTCCACATGCAGTTCCCAAGAACTCCATCCATAAAGACTTACCTTAGGCCCATTAGGCGTATAAGTCAACCTAAAAAAGCTTGGGCCCATAAGCACTTACCCTAGTCGAAGCGTAGGAGCCACCTGAGAGGAGTGACCTCAGGTCCATAAAGACTTACCCTAAGCACAAAGCAAAATAGCTACCCTATGGACATGCCATAGGGTCCATAAGGTACCACTAGGCCCATTAAGCCTAGAAGGCCACCCAAGGGTCGCCTTAGGTCTGTAAGGATTTGACAACCTAATCAGGGTTGAACCTACAGAACTCCATATCACATCCCAGAAGTACCCCAATAAAAAACAGGTAAATCAGTAAACAGAAATATTAGAATCAGAAACCGGATATATCCAATATCAAAAACCAGATATCATATAAAAGATATTAGAAACCATGTTTGTACATCAAATAACAAAGTCAGGCTTTTTTTGTAAATAAGAGAAAACATCTTTGTGCATAGGGAACACACTAGAGGATTCATATTTTTTCGGAGGCACTAAGTATTATCGAGAAGAGAAATACGAACTTCTACAAGTTGTTCGGACTTCAGAGATGAGATCCCCACATAAGGGGTTTGATTATCTTTAGAATTAACTGATTCGGGAACATTTAGGATTCTAATATACCATGAAGGTATTCAAGTTTACATCATAATTTACTAAGGTTATAATATAACAAGAGTGATTCCATTCTTTTAGGCCATTAGAGACATTTTAGTCATTTAGCTACTGAGGAAATTCTTAATAAAATTAACCCAATAAGGGTAAAATAGAAATTCCTAGTATCTCAAATTCTCTTGATTTTGAGTCAAATCAAACTGAACATACCTCAACATTTTGATACTTGTCAATCGTTCGAACTAATATATTTTCAAAAATATTCACTTTATAATACTGACCGTACTAGTTGGACTGATCACCGCTAAAATCTCCATTGAAAAGATCATGAAGATACGAACATATATTCCAATAATATTATTTATTTTTTTAATGCATATATATACAAATGGCTGACGTTCTTGATTCTTGCTTCATAACCTTTAGGGTGGACATCAGTTAGGCTAATCAGGGTTCTAGAGTTTATCCAATGACATTCACTTTCTACTCTTCCATAAGGATGTTTAGGTTTTTTCAATTATAGATGTTACTTTAGTCATTTATGGGCTCAAGGGTATTTTGGATAATGCAAGGTCGAAATGTATATTGGTTATTTCAGAACTGGAGGTTTGTTTTTTTTTCATATAGTTCATATAATGCAATACTTCCAATAAATTGGTTTTCAGCTAAATCTTATAAAATCATAATATCCGAGTAAGTTGCAATCTTGAAGGCTACGAATCGATTACCCGAATTTTCCAATCAAATCATGAATTTAACTGATGTTTTCGTAGTTCTATCCAGCCAATAATGAATTCCAATGTCATTTCCAATCTCAAGGGAGATTTGGTTCTCATTTCTATACCAAGGGTATTTCAATCATTCTATCCAATTTTTATCATATGCACTACTTCTAGTAAATTTGTCTTCTTGCTTTTACTAAGGATTCGGGATTCTACGTCTTTTCCATCTTGGGAGTCATAATCAATTATCTGAATGTTTCTAAATCAAACAAGCACTTAATAGGTGAATTCAGTGGTTGAATCGGGTCAAGTATAGCTTTTTAGGGTTATTTTCCACTTTTGGGCACAATTCTCATTTTTTTACATCATAAGGGTATTTTACTTAGCAGAAGTATTTTCATAATTTTTTCCTAAGTATTTCCGGCATTTAACATTTTTAAAGAAGTAATCAGAATTTACGGATTCTTAGGTTACTTGAATTCCAATTAACCACTGAACTTGAAATTATTTCTCGTTAATCTTCTAGTTCCATACACTAGTTAATCGAGTCTTATTCAATTTATCGCCTTTATACCATATTCAATATTACTTTCAGAAATCCTCAATAAGCACGAGACCGATCATTTTCATTCATAGATTTATCAATTATCAACGAGTACGATAAAGCATTCAAAAGGTAGTAAAGTATTACCTCGATTTTTATGGCACAATGATCAATTATTTAAAGTCCATTCGATCACCCTCGACTTAAATTCAACGTCCCATAAAATCTCGAATACTTGGCAAAACAATTTATATCAGAAACGAAATTTAATTGGGAAAACTATTTGAATCAAAAGACAAAATGTTGAAAAACAACTTATCGAGCTCAAATTTGGTGAAATGGACTTCGGATTTGGACTCATGACGTCCATAAACATAAAATATGACTTTTCAAAAATTTTACTTTTTGGTAAAATTCAACGATCAACTTTGGTCAAAGTCAACGAGTATAGTCAACGATCAACAGTTTGATCAATGGTCTAGTTCAACGGGTTGATTCGACTCAGTCTGAGTTGACTTAATCAACTCAATCCGAGTTAACTTAGTTTCCAGAAAATTTGATGAAAACAAGGACCACACGCGACAGTGACACGTAGTGGTGTGTGCGGCAAGGGAAGGGGGACAGTGATGACAACCGAACACTCCAAATGCAACCAAACACAAACATTAGTCCATAACCACTCAATATTAGGCCAAAACTCGATAGAAATTAATGAAGAAATAACAAACTCTTACCCTCAACGACAAACGATGGAAGATATGACATGGGATGGGGTAATATCATTCGAGTTACAGTCAGAACAGAGCAGGTAACCAAATGATGGTGGCAATGAGCGACGACAGGATCGATGTGAAATCGAAGAAAATCACAACAGGGCTCGAGATCTATGACAAAGTTTTATCGATTGATTCGAGACGAACACCGACGAATCAATAGAAGAGGCCTATTGGTTTTGCTCAACGTGGGATGGTGAGTAGATTGGTGGCGGTGATTTCGCCTACGAACAATACGGCGGCCAAAATCAGAGAAAAGACAGAACGATAGGTTTAGGTTTTCAACGAGACTTCAAAGGGCCATCCTCGACGATTGACAGCGGTCTTCAAGAAATTACCAGAGGGGTTTTGATTGGGGCA